GCGCATGGGAGTTTACGGCGTGTACTACACACGCGCGTCTACGTAATTAGCGTCGTCGAGTTGACTTTGTTTACTCGGAGAATTGTTTTGTAGATGAGGGAGAGGCAAGAAGGGGGCTCTGAATGGGTAAGCCCGCCCACAATCCGTAAGCGAAACACATCACGAAAGCACCGGAACACATCCCGATGATGCCACTTTGCGTGCGCCCCCTCCCTTCGTAGCTACGTAGCATAGCCTGTAGAGAATGACTGCCGATTGCGCAAAGAGCCCCTCCAATTTTCACGATTCATGACAGACAACATTCTTTACCACCACAAAAGACTTTTCAACCACCCTGCCACGTCTCCTGCCACCAGACCGGCCCGCTTGACACACAGAAAGGCTGGAGGGGCGTGGTTGAGAGACACGGAAAAAAAAGTCTCTCGACGAATCTGGCTCAGGGGCGGCAAGGCGGTAAGAACATTTGCAGGTCTCAGTGATCTTCTCAGACGGCGGCTTTTCTAAATGGGTCCTCGGATCTCCCTGGTAGCGGGGGCCGCGTTCGATTGACGTATGCACCCCGACAACCCCGAGTTCTTTCCTGGGACGACGACACCAAGTGCGGAAGAACGCGTGGGAAGGCAAGTCGTTCTTTGGGAGACATAGAAGAGCGCGCTCTCAGCCCTTGGCACGAGGGCAACGGCAGCTAGGCGTGCTAAGCCAGCCAAGGGCTCGTGAAGACTTTCCCGAACTGCCCGCCGCGAGCAGTGATCCAAATCGAGATTCTTCTCCCGCCGCTCTCGTGTTGAGTCTAGCGTCAAACCCAACAATGCAGACTGAGGCGATCGATTATGAAAGATTTTCGCAACACGGGCTGTAGATCCGATCCAACCTCCGACACGCAGATTCAAATTGTAGAGAATGTGAGACGTGGCACCGCTTGCGCTGCAGGAATTCAGAAAGGGGATAGGTGAACTGTAAGAGGCAGCACATTGCAGTGTTGAATGTCACATGAAACACATACTTGAAGAGTAAAAAGAAAGAATGCGCAAACAGGCCATTTCGTCTCGTGTGGAATAAAGTTCTTCGCCCGTGGACCGTGCCTCTTGCCTGAGAAGGTGAGGAGAGATCGTGTTACACCGCCGCAACCTCGGAATCTCTAGCGTTTGCTTTTTCAGGTACCCGCGTTTTTCGAGGGTCTGAGGTGTGTGATGTGTCTCTGACGATCAGCTCGGGCTGAAAACCGTTCTTGGGAAAACAAGAGGAACCGTGAGGGAGTCGGTTGTGTCATTGGTCGCCACTGGCGCGAATCGCAATGAAGCCACCGTCGGACTAGGCTGGCGCCGTTGAGGACGCCGGCTGTTTGGCTGCCGCGAGCCGCGGACGGGGCGGCTGGTTGGTTGGGATTCGAAAAGGGCTAGTGAAGAAGAGCTGGTGACAGGGAGGGCGACTGACAGGCCACCGAGTGGGCGCAACCCGTACACGGTAGATGAGTGGCCGACCATGTGGCCGTTGATATTGCGAGAAAAAACCTTGAAGCTCGCCTGCGACCTGTGGTGAGTATTAGAAACAGAGCGGAAATTGAATTGACTTCGTGATCAATGGGTGCAGGATTGAGCGGCCTGTCGAAGCAGGGGCCCATGGGCAGGTCTGGACCGTCCAGACTCGAAGAGACTTGAACGCGCGGTGCAAGCCAGCTTCTGTCACAGCTTGTCTCTCTCTTGTCCTTGTAGGGCTCCGCTAGGACGCAGGGGGCGGGGATGGGGGGAGGAGAGCTGGGAGACTGGAGACTGGCACTCGAAAAGGAGGAGACTGGAGACAAGATGCGGCGGACGACGAATGGTCGGGTGGGTGGCTTTTGGTGCTAGCGAGAATTGTATGCGGGTGGAAACGAAACAGAGACGACGTCGGCTTGTGGGAAGGCTGAAAAAAGGACGGGAGTAGTCTGGTGTTTTGGTGTGATTCTGTAACTGTGAACGGCATTGATTGCCTTGTGTGACGGGCTGGTCCGGCGGAGGTTTGTTGTTGTCTTCTGGTCCCTTGGGGAATCTTGGAGGGTTGCAACATGGAAAGGGGGGCCATGCCAAGAGGGGTGACTCTCCAGATGGGGTGGAAGGGACGTGAGGGAGTCGACACCCGCAGTCCATCGAGGTGACTCGGTTCCAAGAGGTTGGATGATGGGCAAAGAGCTAAAGATGGATCGATTGATGGATCGGTGGGTTTGCTAGTCGTCAAGCGGCGGATGGATGATGCTTCCAGCAACTGTCAAACGCAAACATGTGCCGGCGCGGACGGTGGGGGATGACTTGGATGGATGGATAGGTGATGGAAGGGTGATGCCTCTCTCGATGCCGAAGGAGAAAAAAAACTCCACGCTCGTATTCCACCAAAGACGGCGGTGGGTGGAGACCAATAAGTTAATTGGGGTGAATTTTCTGAGTGTTATTCCTGGATCGCGATACGGCAGTGACAGTGGCAGTGATAGTGTTAAGTGGCCACTGGCGCAAGACCACAAGTTGGCGCCGGCGGCAAGCGGCTGACCGGCCAGATCTGCGGAATTCACAGAGTGCTGACAGAACGTGGAAGGCGAGCCGCAAGAGCGACCTGGGACACCTGGGAGATATTCCCCAAAGCGCAAAGGGTCAGCATTGATCCACGCAAGGAGATGTAAAAGGTTAAGCTTCTAACACTCCACCGATGTGGGAACATGATGGAGCGATAGTCGGCCATCTCTCGCAAATCGAGCAGCTAAACAACAGGCGACTCGTCAGCCGGGTGGACCTGACCGGGCAGCTTCCCTGATTACTCCGTGGGAACACTGCAACTCCAACTCTCCAATAACCAGGGCAAGGCCGCAAGATGGTGGAAGGCGCAGACCACCTTGACCCCAGAGAACAGCGCTGGGAAGTGCTTGGGAGAGCCGCTTGGAGAATGGAACCCGAGGACCCCAGAATGAATTGGGAGGGACCCTTCCTCTTACCAGTGTTCCCACCAAGGTCGACCCTTTCCCACGCAACACTGGCTCAGCCCACCCCAAATGACTCCAAAACAGTTACCGGGGCCTTCAGACTGCCGGTACTGACGCTGCCCTAGAGGGATATGTGACGATATTAAGGAACAAGAAACCGAATGAAGGGTGCTCGCATGGCAACATGGGGTTACAACTTACACCATTGTAATCTCACCAAAATGTGCAATCTCACTCTCATGCAGCAGCACATGCAACTACACCGAGGCACCAAATTCAACAACCAATCGAGTGGCGACGAAGGAACATCAAGCTTCACTCACTCGTAAGCGGTTCTGCGGCACGTCTGATGTGCGGCACTCGCACAATCAACTCGAGGAACCTTGAAGTGCACTAGAGAACTCTCAGTGCAACCTTTTGATAGCACACACAGCTTCACAATCACATAGGTACGACTACAGACGTGTGTACTATGTATGTGACTATGTAATCAAGCTCTGTGCGAGTGTCAAAACTTCGGATATGTCATGATATGCATCCCAGACGGAAAGGAGCAATACCGACGCGTCCCTCGACCTTGCCGGGCAGTTTCTTCCTGCAGGCTGCAAGGCACATACATACATACATTCACGGTTTATGACCAACGTCCATAACAACAATATTCAACTTGCCAAGTACCGCGTCCCAGTGACACCCCAATCGCGCGGCATTCCATAGCGGAAGTAAAATAGATGCGCAGAAAAAAACCAAGAAGTCCACCGGCGAGCACGGCATCATCAAGGCCCACCTGAGAAGAGGCACCTCCACCCAGCTGAGGTACGTATCTCTGTCTACCCTGCTCCAGTCCACCAGCTAGATACGGGGATACCTACTGCTAGGTACTCCGTACTGAAGTATCCGTAAGTGGATATCACAGACCATCCACCAACCAAGAATCGGGAACCACCAGTCCTGGGTACCGGCCAATCCCAGCAATCGACCCGAGAACTTCTGAAACTCGCCTGTCAGTGGCTTGTCCCCTGCATCAAAGCTGCCAGCCCGTCCTGCAGCAGAAAGCCGGCCACTTTGAGATTTCTGGCCCGTTTTCTGCTTGATCTGGCTGTCTGCTCTGGGCCTCTGGCCGTCCAGGCTCTCGTTCACTGTGCAGAAATTCAGAGCACGTACTCAAAGGACCTACTCTGCCAGAGATTGACCCAGAACCAGAGAAAAAGAGGAAAAGAAAAAAAAACTAGATGCACCAGAAGGGGGGTGCCCCGGCTCAGCACAGAAGGAAGAAAAAAAAAACCGTTCAGGGGTCCCGCCAAGATGCACGCTCCAAGACAGCCGTCCCTCCCACTAACGCGTCTAGCGGCGGCGGCCCCCTTTCGTCCTGTCTTTGCGGCTTTCCGCTTGCCCTGCCACTAATTGCCTTGCTCGTGCTTGCCGTGTCGCCTTGCACTTTGATGATCGTCAACCTGCTAACCGCACCTTACCATCCCACGTCTCCATCCTGTTTCCCTAACTAGAACAGAACCTTGCCGTCATTCTCTCTGCCATTTTTGGTTCGTCTTTCGCTTAAACCCTGAGCTTCTTCCCCTCCTCGCCTTCTTTTTCATCTAGACTCCCGCTCGTTTCGACCTCTCCATTCACTCTCGCTCGCTCTCTCTCTTTTCTCCTCCTCCCCGCCCTCTCTTCCCTACCTATCCTGTCCCATCCTACCCTCCTCCTCTAAAGATACCCTTTTCCTTGTAATTACCTTCGTTTTTGGGAATTGGGTTGTCGTCACACACGAGGATAACACAGAACATACACGCGCGCTCACCTCTTGTAGAACCAGACCCAATCGTTACTCTTGGTTCTCAACCTTTTTCTCATTTTCCTCTCGAGCCTCACACGACGCCTCGATTGGTTTCCTACAAGAGCTGGATTCGACATCCGCTCCGTCTGCGCATTAATAGACTGCAACTATACAGCAAGTGGTCTGTACAACAATCATCAATCACCGTTCTACACCAACATTCCTCCTCCCTCGACTAGATACGACACAACTTAAGAGCTCCCTCGCTATTTCGGCATGCCGGGACCTCTCTCGCCGCGGCATTCGGGATTCCTGCCTATAAACAATACACAGTCGAACGACATGCCTGACGGCGATATTCCCCTGACCCAGGTCAGGAGCGCCGCCTCTACTGGCGCCAGGAAGCCCACGATGAACGCTTCTAACGAGGACTCTGGTTCCTCTGGTACAAATGAGAAGCATGGTCTTTTCCACCGCCCCAATGCCAAGGGCGGACGCCGCAAGAAGAAGGCAGAACTCGGCCGCCACGGAACTGCTGGCTCGGACGAGGTCAAGATGAACGCCATGGGTCGCTTCTACACCAAGATCACCAGCGCGTCTGTCGTCACGCGCTACCTGGTTTACATCATTCCTATCGGTCTTCTACTCGCGATACCACTCATCGTTCTCCCCATTACGGGTCACAAAGACGATGTCATGATTGGCAACAACAAGGAGAAATCGCTATTTAACCTCTTTGTGTGGATTGAGATTGCCTGGTTGACCCTCTGGGCCGGCAAGGTTGTCGCCTGGCTCATGCCTCACGCCTTCATGTTCTTCTGTGGAGTGGTCAGTTCCGGTACGCGCAAGTACGCTACTGTCCTCCAGAACTTGCAGATTGCCCTTTCACTCTTCTTCTGGGCCCTGGCATCATGGCAGTCATTCCAGGCCCTCTTCAAGTCCGACAACAACCAATCTTCCTGGGTTACCACCATGATCCGTCTTCTTGGTGCCACATTTGTGTCTTCAGCCGTATACCTTGGCGAGAAGGCCATTGTTCAGCTCATCGGTATCTCTTACCACCAGAGATCATTCGCTCTTCGCATCAAGGAGTCCAAGCGTGAGGTTCGCTTGCTCGGTCTTCTCTACGATGCCTCCCGCACCCTTTTCCCTATGTACTGCCCCGAGTTTGAGGACGAGGACTATGTCATCAACGATAGTCTCGATTTGATCTTAGCCAAGGCCGCGAAGGGTGGCAAGGGCGGTAATGGTAGCGCTACGCCCCTCCGCCTTGTCGGTGACATTGGCCGTGTAGGAGACAAGATCACCGGTGTCTTCGGTAACATTGCCTCGGAAATCACTGGAAAGCAGGTCTTCAACCCCAACTCGGCTCACTCCATTGTTATTGAAGCCCTCGAGAAGCACAAGCCTTCCGAGGCTCTCGCCCGCCGTATCTGGATGTCTTTTGTGGTCGAAGGAAAGGACTCGCTGTACCCCGAAGACTTCCTGGAAGTGCTTGGACCCGCTTACTCTGATGAGGCCGACGAGGCTTTCGGTATGATCGATAACGACATGAACGGCGATATCAGCTTGGAAGAGATGACTCGCAAGGTTGTCGAGATTGGCAAGGAACGCAAGGCTATTACCGAGGGAATGAAGGACATTGGTCAGGCACTCCGCGTGTTTGATAAGGTTCTCATGTTCGTTGTCGTCTTGATCGTTGTCTTCATTTTCCTCGCGTGGTTCCAGTCCAGCTTCTTGACCGTAAGCTTCCCCCTCCCCTTCAACTCTGTCTGGAACGCCGCTGACCCATTTAGACCGTCGCCACTGCTGGTACTGCGCTTCTTTCCCTGTCATTCGTCTTCGCCGTTACCACCCAGGAATTCCTTGGTTCTTGCATCTTCCTCTTCGTCAAGCATCCCTACGACGTTGGTGACAGGGTCGATATTGTTGGTTCCGAGAAGCAGCAACTCATCGTGGACAAGATTTCGCTTCTGTACACCGTCTTCACCCGTATCGACAAGATGCAGGTCGTCCAGGTTCCCAACATCGCTCTCAACAACCTATGGATCGAGAACGTCTCCCGTAGCAAGGCCATGAAGGAGGTCATCGACTTGAACGTCTCCTACGACACCAGCTTCGAGGACCTCGAACTCCTCCGTGTTGAGATGGAGAACTTCGTTCGCAACTCCGATAACTCCCGCGACTTCATGCCCGATATCGCCATTGGCGTTGCCGGTGTCGGTGATTTGGACAAGCTACAGCTTAAGATCGCGATCAAGCACAAGTCCAACTGGCACAACGATGGCGTTCGCGCCACTCGCCGCTCCAAGTTCATGTGCGCTCTGGCCATGGCTCTGAAGAAGATCCCCATTTATGCCCCTGGTGGTGGTAGCGAGGCCCTTGGTGCTCCTGGCAACCCATCTTACTCCGTCGCCGTCACCGACTCCTTCGCTGCGTCAGCCCGTGACAAGGCTGCCAAGGATAAGGAGGCCGCGCGTTTGGTGCCCTCTCCCGCCGCCGAAGGAACTGACGGCAACCCCGACTCTAAAACCGAGAAGGCTGCCGCAGCTGAACTCAACCTGCGTGACCCGATGGTCGAAGAGGAATGGGGCTACCGGGTAGGCGATGACGACACTTTGTCGTCCCAGGAAGCTCGCCGCCGCTCTAACGATATCGACCGCGTCCGCAGTCAGCTGATGAAGCGCGCCAGCACCAAGGGCGGTGGTGGCCGTCGCAAGCCCGGCGAAGGCATCCCCATGTCCCCTGTCGGTGATGGACCCGGCCTTGGTCTGACGCAGACGACGTCTCGCAACCGCATTTACGACGAGGAGGCAGAGACGGGTGTCCAAGGATCCTACAACTCTCCCTACTACGGCGCCCAATCAACCGGTTACTCCGGCGCCTACGGACAGTCCCTGTCTCCCACTATCTCGCCTCCCCACAACACCAACCTTACCCCCCACCCACTCCAGAGCGCCCCATCGGGCCAGCGTCCTCGTGGACGCAGTGTATCCAGCACCCAGCAGGAGGTTCAGCCGAGCACTTCAAAGAAGCAGTAAAGGGGGACGCTAAGGATGGCACGAAAAGAGTAACAAAGTAAAAGAAGGAGAAGCAGCAAAAAAAAATCGGAGAAAGATTAATACCAGCCGGTCAATTGTCTGACACAAAACCCCGGGCGTTTTCTTTTACGTGGGCATTGAGACTGGCTTCCCCATGCCTAATGAATTTCCTTACACAAACTTCACATGGGGGGAACAGATAGATTACGAATAGAGTATGATGACATGTTGTCCGCAGATAAATACTATTCCTCTTACCAATGCCTGGTCTGCCTCTATTTACGTGATATGTTTTTTTGCTAGTCGTCAACATACACGTTTAGCTTCATGCCTAGCAAACGTGCTCAACCTCGCCAACGCCCTCCAACGGACCCAGGTCCAGCTTGAGCGTCCTCCCAAACAACTCCAATAGAATCTCAAAGCAGACCTTTGTGATGGCCGGGTCATACCGTCCCTTACTCAACTCGTCGCGGATAAAGGCGTGCTGGGCCCACGCGAACTCGTAGAAGCTCGTCGTGACGCCTGCCTCGCGGAGCTTGGCGCGGATGAGGTCGCGGCCTTCCGCGGGGACGTGGGTGTCTTTCACGCCGAAGATCATGGCCACCTCGGCGTGGGTGAGGTTCGTGGCGAAGAGGTCTAGGGTGTGGGTGCTGTTTTCGGGGGCTGTCGGGGAGGAGTTTGCGGAGGTGTGGGGGCCTAGGGTGCGGGTGTGGATGTCTGTTGCGAAGTAGGCTACGCAGGAGGTGATTCGGGGGTCGAGCTGGTGGTGAGGTTAGTTTGGTGAGGATTGTGAGTGGGTTTCTGGTGAGAGGTGGGAGTTTGGAGGTGGAGGGAGAGGTTGAGGAGGAGCGGGGGTGAGAGAGGGGCATGGAAGGGGGAAGGAGGCGAGAGACGTACGGAGGCTCTGACGGCGAGGTGGCCGCCTAGGCACATTCCCGTGCTGCCGATTTTGCCGGTGCAGGTTGGGAGGGTGAGGAGGTGGTCTACGGTGCGGCGGGAGTCTTCGTCGTAGGACTCGAGGGTCTTGATGACAGTGTTCACGATGGTCAGCCAAAGTATTTCTCCGTGAGGTCTAGCTATATAGAAATGAGACGAGGGCGTACCTTTTCAACCTTCCAGGCGTTTCCCTTGTCGGTGCCGGGAACATCGTAGGCCAGGGCCTCTGGGCCGGTGAAGTCGTGGTAGGACGAGGGCGCGGCGACGATGTAGCCTTGTCCTGCGATCTGGCGGGCGAAGCGGGCGACGGGGCCGGTCACTATCGACTTGTCAGTTTGTACTTCACGAGAAGAAGGAGGTTATGTATCATTCGCATGTGATTCAAGTCTGAAATGGGATTCTGTTGTATGGCAAGCCAATAACAGTCGAAGACATAAAGTGAAGCGAAGTCAAAGTACTCGGCCAACAACTCGGTGAACTCGGTGTAGGATCGGTGAGGGTGGGGTGGAGGGGTCGAGCACCCCCCAGTGCGGGGGAAAGGGCAGCTTTTTTGGGTAGACCCCGCCGCCGCCATGGAGAAGAGGCATGATCTGACTGTACTGACCTTGGTAGATTTCAGAGAAGAGGCAGACACCTGGAAACTTGCTGCAGTATATGTGAGTTGGGGATTTTCAATCTGATTTTTGAATCAAGATCACTTACGCCTGGGGATAGCCTGGAATGGAAGGGTGGAAGAGGAAGATTCCTGTTACCGTTGTTAGCTTTCGAGTACCATTATTACGAGGTCGGTTGGCACGCACTCATGGAACCATCCTTGCCGTCGGCCTTGGTCGGCACGTCTACGTAAGACTCCTTGATGAGCATCCTGAAGAGTCTATGAGAATTGACTGATTGAACAAGTAGGAGGAAGCAATCGTCGGATCGACAGTCAGTGAGTGAGGTTTGTTGTAGTTGAGTGATTTGCATCTCATTGGCTGATAGCTCTGGACCTCTGATCTGGAGGACCTTAGTAAGCCCCCTTCCCTCCTCCACTCTTCCTTCTCAGTCCACCTTGAAATGAACTCGAATAGAAGCTTATCTTGAAGTCTTAGCTTGGATATTCACTAGATTTTGTAGTGGACCTGAGCGTGTGATGAGTGTTTGACGGATATTCATCAAGGTGACTGTAGCATTGCTTTTCACTTGGTATTTCTGCCCCCTCCGCCTAAACACCCAACCCAATCCCTGATATACGCTCTCCCGTGACCCTGCGCCAGAACTATGCTTTCGCTTTCGATTATTACGCCATCCGCATGATATCAACACCGTCCCCCTTTTGCCTGTCTTTCTTCTGAAAGACGCCCCTAAATCCTGGATATTCCACGCCATCCACATGACGTTCTCCGTGCGCCGTATGCTTCCCCTTCCCCTGATAATATTCCCCATGTCGGCAACTCTCTCGGATACATATGATTACAAACCCCATACTTCCCTCACTTATTCTCAAGATCCTTGGCATCCTGAAACGTCTCATTCAGCTTCGCCGTAAGCCCAGCCCGCATCGCCTGAATCTCCTTATCCCTCTTCTCCGACAGCGCCAACAAATCCCGGTACTTTTTCTCCCACTCCGACTCGGCGCCGCCCGTGCCCTTCATATTCGGCTTCTCCAGCTTCTCCTCGGGCCGCCGCCACCGGTTGTACATAACCGTCTGCACCATGTTGTAGTTGCCCCGTATCGTCCCCAGCCGGAACTCCCAGCTGCAGCTGTACGTCGCGCGGTCCTCATACTCCTCCTCCCGCTTTACCCGCAGCTTGCTCGTCGTCATGAGCGCCCTGCCGCCCGCCAGCGCCGCGAGATTAATCAGAAAGGCGTCCTGGTTCGGCGCCGTCTGCCACATCCTTTCTACAGTGGTATGCACGAGCGCGTAGGCCTCGGCGATGCTGCAATTCTCGATGGGGTTGTTGTCCGCGTCGACCCAGTCGCCGTTGGCCGTCTCGTGCGCGAAATAGCCCAGGACGGCGTCGATGTTGGTCCGGTCCTTCATGTTCTCGAACATGCCGATGGGGATGTCGTTGGGTTGCGGTGGTATGCCGCTGCCTTTCGCGGCGGGCGGCGGGTCGACCGGCAGGACGGTCTGCGCTTTCAGGTCTACTGGTGGTATGGCACCAGGGGGGAGGGGCACGTTGTGACCGGGCGGGAACTCCAATGGTGGTGCTGTTGCTGTCGAGTTCATTATGTCGGGTACTTCGCCCGGGGGTTCTCCGTTGACGATCACGATCGGTGGAGGCGGCGGCGTCGCGAGACGAACGGATCCTCCTTGACGTTCCGGAACCTGTAGTGAGATACTCGGCTTGGCCGGCCGCGGTATATGCGGCGGTGTAGGTAATTCCGTGACTGCGACTGGTGGTACCGGTGCGGTCTGGGGTATTGGCGCCGGGGGTGTAATCGGGCCCGGCTCAATCTTGGTATCGGGACTTGGCCGCTTGTACGCCGGTCCTTCGGCGGGGAAAGCCACAAATGGGCCATCGACATTCGTTTTGTTCATAGGCGGTCTCCCCCGAGTCTTGCCGCTGCCTCCTGGTCCGCCACTCCTCCACGCAGAGGAAACGACTTTGGCACCGTGTCGCCGGTGAGATGCCTTTGGTCGTGAGGGAGTAATAGCCGACCTTGGTTCCGCATCACCCCAGAACCCGCTGTTGCGCGTTGACGGCGTGAGCGCAGACATCGGGCCCTGTGGATACGCCGTGAGCGGCGTCTGCGCTGTGTCAGGGGCCGGAGGCCAGCCCGTCACTGATCCCGTGTTGGCGCTCAACTTCAAATGATCAGAGCAGCCGAACGTAGCGCGTCCATCGGGATGAGCGGACCACGGACCCAGAGTCTCTGGCCGGGCGGCGGTGTAGGCCGTCCCCGTCGGCGGCGAGTCCAATCTCGCTCGTTGTGAAGGGGACTTTGCGAATTCGTCGTCCTCTGGCCTTTTCCTCCCCCGCCTGGGCCGAATCTGTGGTAAAAGTGCTCGGAGAGCCATGTCGTCTTCTGCTAGCACACCATCCCTTCCCGCTTCACACACGGGCGTTGGGTCATTTGGGATCTCTGTCCAGTAAGGGTGAGGGTGATCCATCAGATACTCAAAGAAGGCATCCACATGCATAGAATGCATCCAGCGCTGTGAGAGTCAGCCTATTGCGCGATTCATTGAACCATGCACAGGAACATACCTTGAGCCGGACGGCATACTGCTGAATCTTTTGAGAACTCTGACCCTTATCCTGATCAGGGGGTTCGACGCCCAACTTGAGAGCCAACTCTGCCCACGTCTTGATCTCCTTGGTCTCCAACTGCTTGATGAGCTCGAAAAGGGTGAAAGTGCTGAAGCTCTTGCCGCCGCTCTTGGGCGGGACCCGGAAAGCTTCCCGCAGCGCCGCCGTGTCCGTGTCGGGCGGGACGGCCGGGTTGCAGGACATGACGAAGTGGGTGTAGGCATCCTCAATGGTGTCCGCCGTCACGTTCCTGTCCGGGAGGGTGAGCCTGCTGCTCGAGGCTGACGAAGTCGACGACCGTGGGGCGGCCATGTGCTGATGCCTCATTAAAGGCGACGGGGATTGCCCATGCATACCGTTGGGCACCGCGGACGGCGGCGGTGGCAGCGGCGGCGGGAGCGACTGCGGTTGGTGCTGCTGCATCGTCGGTTGCGGGGATATCATCGCGCATGAGTCGGTGTTGAGTAATCCGGGATATTGGACATCATCACCGACGAGGCGAGAGTTGGGCCACGCATTGACAGCACGCGCGATACGAGTTGACAGCGTCAAAGCCTAACGACGACGCGACGAAGTGTATGAGGATCGTGAGCGCAGCATCACCACCGAGCCAGCTCAACGAGGGGGGCAGAGAGTGTCCCAGATGCGTCTTTCTGTCTGTTCTCGAGACAAGAGCAGGTGATAGAGGCTGAATGACCCGGGAGAAAATGGGGGTGGGTAAAAGCGATGCAGTCCGTCCCGTAGCTCACGGTCTCATCTACTTAGGTGACGGACAGTCAGATCCAAACGGCTCTTTTTCGAGATGAGAGGAAAGCTTGGGTCAATCT